CTCTCTCTCTCTCTCTCTCTCTCTCTCTCTCTCTCTCTCTCTCTCTCCCTCTCTCGATTTGGACGCACATAGAAGTGAAAAAATTGAATGCTTCTCCCCACTCGATCTCTGCTATAGCCGCCCAAATCACTCCTAATTGAGGAGATACCTCGATTTGAGGGAAAGTCAGCGGCACAAGCTTCGAATTTTAAGGTACCACCATTGGATTTAAATCTCTTGATTGGAAGCTGATTGGGTTTAAATTGAATCAATTAGGCTTGAATTGAGTTTGATTTGGATTGATTTGAGTCAATTCAATTTAATTTGGGTTCATTAAATTTGATTTGAGTTCGATTTAAGTTGATTTGAGTTTAATTAAGTCGATCCAACTCAACCGAGCCTAGTCGAATCCAATTCAACTCGATCCGAGATGAATCGCCTTTACCTCTTCAAGGTAAAGGTGTTACAGTCAGAACCGCTGGACACTAGCTCGAGTGAGATAAATCCTTTAAATTTAGAAAGTCCTAGGCTTATCGACCATTAGTTGTGTGTATGATGCCTCCCAAACCCATAGGGACTTGTAGAAACTTCATTTTCGCTCTAAAAAAACTCATATGTTTGCTATCCACTTTGTAAACTTGTGAAAATTCAGTGATTTTTCATGGTTTGTTCTCATATGAGAGCCTGTATGGAACAATGATGCAGGTCGGTTCATTGGACTTGTGCCCCAACACTCCTCCAATGCATGACTGATTGGGTACAATCGACTCAATTAAACCTAAATCGACTTTAATTGAACCCAAATTAAATCAAATCAACTCGGACCAACTCAAATCGAACCAAATCGAAATCACTTCAAACTCAATTCAAGCCTAATTGATTCAATTAAAACCCAATTAGCTTCCAAATCAAGTAATTTAAATCCAATGCCGATATTATCTTGAAATTCATAGCCAGTGTCACTGCATTTCTGTCAAATCACAGGATCTCCTCGATTAGGAGCAGGATTTAGGGTAAATCATTTCTAAAATAGTTGGGAGATTGTTGAATATGCTCATTTAATTTGTGAAGCAAATTTGAGATAGATGGGGATCTTCAAGGACCAACAAATCAAATCCCTACATGTTTCCAAATTATTTAAGTATGCTTTGCACTTTCAATTTAAATGACTAAGAGTGATAATGATTAATCATCCAGAACGCAAGTCACTCAATGCACATTTTAGGATTTGTAAATCATGCCAATATTGACCTTTGGATTCTCCTAAGACATGTATCATGACAAAATTGATATAAATTATAGAAGCTTGCAAAGTCTATTTATTTGGTCCAATCAAATAGATAACATCTTCCCTTAGCTCCACTCCAGGTTTCTTTCATTTAAACAAAAATAAAGGATATCTCCCTCTCATGACAATTAAAACACAAGCTACAAGATTTACCTTAGGAGTCTATTTCTCTTGAAATTCACCTCACCAAATTAGGTGAATTTAATAAAATCCTACATCAAACCCTTAGACAAGTTTACCTTACCCTATTAGATAAACATCTATATTTTATCAAAATACTAAGAGAACTCTAAAAAAACCTTAAAAAATTACTTAGCAAACTTTTTTGGCA